GCTGGTCACATGGCATCCACAGTCAGGAAGCAGAGAGATGAATGCTGGTGCTCAGCTTGCTTTCTCCTTTATTTTCAATCCAGGACCCCAGTCCATGGGATGGTGCTGCCCAGATTCAGGGTGGGTCTTCCCATCTCAATAAACCTAATCCTCACAGATATGCCCAGCCAGTGGCTTGTCTCCTAGGTGATTCTAGATCCTGTCAAGCTGATAACCAATATTAACCATGATAGATCCTCAGCTGGTCAGATGGATGGATGACCCCTCAGACCATACAATGACTGTTTTGAATGAGAGGTCCCAGAACTGAATGAATGAGCAACCCTCTCCCTACAGTGTTCCTTCTATGGCTCTAGAAGCTCCACTGCCTTGCCAAAGACTGGGTATACCACCACCTCCCAATTCCCAGGCCTAGCACATGCCAGAAGCTGCCAGCAACACCCGGCACTCGTGTCCTGTGTGCTAGTCTCTCTCATACATAGCTATGACACGGTCCCTAAGTCGCGAGGTTCTTAAGTCCAGGGCTACAGTTCAGGGCCATTGGTGGTGCAGGCTTGCCCTGGGTCCATCAAGGCCAGCAAGCAGTGCTCTTCATTCATCAGCAAATTAAATCTGAGGTGAGGACAGCCACTGTGAACTGATGGCTGAGAGTTTGTATGTATACGTGTTCTTATATGCTCAGGTGCATATATGTTTTAAGTACACGTGCACGTATGTGTATGCGAGGCCAGAGGTCAGCCTTGGATGTCTTCCTCAGTCACCCTCCACCTTGTTTTTTGAGACAGGGTCTCATGCTTTTACCTGGAACTCACCAATTCCTTTAGTTGAACCGTTCAGCCATTGAACGCCAGGGATCCTCCCGCCTCTGCCTCCCCAGCACTGGGAGTACAAGTACATTCCACCATGCCTGAGTTTTTATACGGGTTCTGGGGATCAAACTCAGATCCTTAGATGGGTATGTTTTACCAACTGAGCCATCTCCCCAGCCCTGGATAACTGCTTTTGTTTTAGCTGAAGCTGGTGGCCACCTAGAAGAGGTCTGTCTGCCTGGAAGTATGACAAGGAAGACAGGAGGGGCCCTGACTGCCAGCACCCATCCTGCCCCTTCTGAGCACAGGTAGCAGGGCCAGAGAAAGTCAGTCTGTGTCCTGGTTCAGCCTTCAGTACCCAGTTTTGTGGTGCCTCCCAATAAACCGTACAGAATTCTAGAACATTCTAGAAACCTCTAGAATTTCACTATGGCTGTGAGATTCAGATGCAGGGTGCCCTACAAGTTTCTGATTCCTCTCTTGTCGGCTTGAAGAAGTCTATGAGGCCTTGCAGTACCCTGGCAAGGGTACAGAAGTGACACTGCCACACATTCACATTGAGCTTAAGTATGGACACACAGAGCCAACCTCAGCCTTGTCCCATCTACGTGTGGTACTGCTTGTGGGCATGTAATCAGCAGATGCTGGAGGAAACTGCTGGTCAAAACGCTTTTCGAAAACAATTTCATGCATTTAAAAATTGCCAGGGGCTAGGGAGATGGCTCAGTCGGTAAAGAGCCTGTCATGCACACAAGAGTACCTGAGTTCTATCCCAAGCACCCAGATAAAAGCCAGGTGCTGTTGGACGCCTGTAACCCCAGTGCTAGGAGGGGTGAAGACAGCAGAGACAAGTAAATCGTTGGAACTCCTGGGCCCGCTAGCCCATGTGTTCAACAAGAGACCCTGTCTCAAAAATTGGGTGCAAAGAGATTGAGAAAGATACCCAAAGTCAACCTCTGGCTTCCATACACATGCACATACATGTGCAGGCACACCCACATGCCCATGTGCGTACACACGAACATGTACATACACAGGCTCCAATGCAGGCTGATAAATGTGTGCATCATACACCAGAAACGTTAAGGTTGGAGACTGTAAGACTGGCTTGCCACTGCTCCTGGGGAACAGCAGGCTTTCCTGGTGGTTTCCATCTCCCATCAGGCAGGAAGCCCTGGGAAGCCCTGCAGCGCTCAGGAGGAAAAAAAGTGAATCCGACACGACTTTGTTCTGTGTTTACATCTATTTCGTCACTGCTTGTGCCAACAATATCCTTTATTACCTGCAGTATCTTTGTGGCATAAAGCACAGGCCTCAGGATAGCTGGCGGGGATATGGAAGTGTCTCACGGGAGGCTTGGTCCAATGTCCTTCTGCTCAGTCAAGAAGCAGGGGACCTCAAGTGCTGGGGAAGACCCAGAGCGTGTGGACCCTGCCACCTGCTGCGGATGGGCACTCAAATCAAGGGCTGTCCTGGCTTTGGTTTTAGCCAAGTCTGTAAGCAGCCAACGTTGGGGGTGCTTGGGAGGGAATCTGTGCACCAACTTACCAGGATTACGGCCACGCTCAATTCTGCCTTTCACAATTTTAATTGTACAACAGTAATTTTGAGATCGAGTTGCCGAAGGCGAACATGCAGAAGACATTAACTTTATTTATGTTTTGGATTATTAATGCGGCTGTTAAAATTCCTCCAGTTAGTTTTGATTGAATTGTTTTTTTTGTGTGATTCTGTTGTTTAATGGAGCGGTAAATAAGAATTTCTGATAATGAGGCCGAGCATCTGTCACAACAACCTGGTGTGGGCTATTAACATTTCCATTAGCGGCAGGGTGGGCAGCGATAATACAGAAACCACACAGTTAGAACAAAATAAATAGTCAGTGTCAGGCTGAGCGGGTGTTAATTACTATTTTATTCTATGTGGGTGGGGGGAGAGAGCCGAAATCGGGGAAGAGAGCTTCGGGCAATAACCACTCCTGAGGTCACTCTCTCCCCCAATGAGCCCGGGTGCCAGTCTACCTCCTCAGACAGTGAGGGCTTTGTGGTCTCCACTATGGCCTCTAGACAGACTCGAGTCAAAAGGCGGTCAGCAGGGGCTAGAGAAATGGCTCAGTCAGTAAAGTGCTTGCCACACACATACATGAGGACCTGAGTTGGGAACTCCAGCACCCTGTGAAAACCAGAAGTGGTGGTATATGTCTGTAATCCCAGAGATGGTGGTGGGGAGTGGAGAAATGGGGTCCCTGGAGGTCATTAATTAATTAATAAGAGGTGGTGAGATGGCTTAGTGAGTAAAAGTGCTTGCTGTAGAAACACGAGGACCTGAGTGGGTATCCCTAAGCACCCGTATTTTATAATTTTTTTTATTTTATTATTCTTATTTTATGTGTATGTGTGTATTTCCTGCATGTAGGTAAGTGCACCCATGTCATGCAATGCCCACGGAGGACAGAAGAGGCTGTCAGATCCCTTGGAATTTGGAGTTATGGACAGTTGTCAGCTGCCATGTGGGTGCTGGGATTTGAACCCAAGTCTTCCGCAAGAACAGCCAGTGTTCTTAACTGCTGAGCCATCTCTTCAGCCCCAGCACCCATATTTTAAAAAGCTGGGCCTGGCACCACACACTTTTAACCCCAGCACTGGGAGCGGTGGGGTGGAGGCAAGCAGATTCTAGGGACTCACTGGTCAAGCATTTCAGTCTGGCTGAAATGGCAAACTGCAGGTTCAGTGAGAGACCCGGTTCAAAAGAAAAAAAATTAAACAAGGTAGAAAGAGAGAGAGAGAGAGAGGAAGACACTTGGAATTGACCTATGACTTCCACATGCACACACGTAGGGAAGTGCAGATTCACACACACGCGCGCGCGCACACACACACACACACACACACACCCCACACTACAATGTTCAGAGTGATCAAGGAAGATATTGGACATTGATCTCTGTCCTTCACACACATGCACACGTACTTGCACACATATGTATACATACAACAGAGAGACAGAGAGAGAGTGTCAGCAGCTGATGTTCTTGAGCCCTCTGGCTGAGGCTGTAGGAGATAAGGTGGGGCTAGACCGGATTCTACGTCCCCACAGCCAGGCACCCATGACAACTCTACACAACTCCCCAGGATCACCCATAACTCCATGCAACTCCCCAGGATCACCCATGATAATTCTATTCAATTCCCTAGGTCCAAATTTCCATGGAGAACATTCAAGTGAGGGATGGGAATATCTCCCAGGAGGCATCTAACAGACCCATGAGAAGGCATCCAGCACAGAATTCAGAGTCTTGAAGTTGACTGATGGGGAAAGGACAAAAATGGTTTAGAATGCATTGCCTGCCCACATATTGCCCTTGACAGCCTAATGACCATGGAGGACAGGGTGGGCAGCCGCACTACGCTCCTCGGTCTTCTGGTTTTGTTTTTTGCATTCGCACTATGGCTGTGGTAGGGCAAAACACCCCAAGAAGCCCTCCAGTTGTGTGTGTGTGTGGGGGGGACACTGGCCTCATGTTCAGATAATGCAGCTAGACCTAGCCTCGGAACCACATACAGCCATGGCCATGTTCCCAGACACCAGAGTCTCTGTGCACCTGTAGGGCAGCTGTGTCTCTAGAGTGACTTCGAGAAGCAGGCTTTGAAAAGGAAGCACCTGAACCTGTGATGACATGTCTATCATTATTTTCTGTTTCTTCCATTGGAAACGTAGCACCCTCCTCCACTCAATTAGAGATGTCTGGGTACCTGTGACTCCCTCACCCATAGAGCATCATGGGTCCCTGCTATGTACCAGGTGCTCATGGGACCTCTCGCTGTCATCCATGTCTTGCTGTTTGATCTCCCAGTGGTCCGTTCCATGCGTTCTCGGAGACACATGGATTTCTAGATAGTGTTTGTTTTTGAATACTTGCTAACTGTATCTCAACAGAATCAGTGTTCTTTGTAGTTTGTTTTGTGCATTTATAAGAAGGTTCTGCTGGGAGGATTTCCTTGGCATAAAAAGGTTAAAGACTGTGGGAGACACAGAGTGCAAACCCTGCAATGTGATTGCACCTGAGACCTCCCAAACCCAGCTGGTATCCATCAGAGAATCATGACCTGCATGAACCCTGGGGACATGGTGGGGTCTCAGCCACCTTCCAAAGGGCCCACCCAGTTACTCTCTGTCCTGCTTTTCACTCAGCCCCAGCGATGGCCCCACAGAACATCCAGGTGACCCCGCTCACAGCCAGCCAGCTGGAGGTCACATGGGACCCACCACCCCCGGAGAGCCAGAACGGGAACATCCAGGGCTATAAGGCAAGTTGTCACGCATGGCTGGACTCTTTCTTCCAGTTCACCGTGTGCCCAGGGACCTGAGGGCTTCAGCTGCATGCTGGCTGTACCCCAAGACTGCTGTCTCTCCCCAAAGGCAGATGCACAGCATCTAAGCAGGGCCAGAGGGCCTGAGCAGGTTTGGCCTAGGATGAAAGCTACTTAGCACGGCGGGGGCTTCCCATGTGCCTGTTCTGTGCCCACCACATGGCACCCTGGGGGAGGGGCCTTGGCTCATCCACAGGTACCTAGGGCCACCATGAGAACCTGACTTCTTCTTGTGCCCACACTGTAGCCTCCAGGGCATCTGCTGACAGTAACAGGAAGTTGGAGTGTTACACAAGAGGAGGTTCCCCACACCAGCTCTGCCCTCAGTTCCTATTGGACATTAAGGGAATTTCTCATTTTTATAGGTATGGGGTGGAGCTGGAGAATTGAAGTGTGTGTGTGTGTGTGTGTGTGTGTGTGTGTGTGTGTACATGGAGGCCAGAGGACCACCTTGGCTCTTGCTCCTCAGGCCTCAGGAACTGTCCATCCTTTTCATTTTTAGTTCATTCTTTAAAATCTTTACTCATTTCCTTCTTTCGTGTATGAGTATATGCCCACTTGTATGTCACCATGTGTGTACAATATCAACAGAGGCCAGAAGAGGGTGTCAGATCTCTTGGAAATGGTGTTACAGATGATTGTTAGCCACCAAGTGGGTGCTGGGAACAAAACCCAGGTCCTCTGCCAGAGCAGCCAATGCTCTTAACTGCTGAGCCATCTCTCCACCGCCTTATGATTGATTGAGTGATTGATGATTGATTGATTGATTGATTGATTGATTGATTGACTGATTGACTGATTGACTGATTGACTGAGACAGGGTCACTCTGAACTGCAACCCACCTAGGTTAGACTGGTAAGTTAATAAACCCTAGGAATCCTTCTGCCTCCACCTCCCCAGTGCTGGGATTACAAAGGCACACCACCACACCCATCTTTTTTTTTTTTTTTAATGTGGGTTCTGGTGATCACATTCAAGCCCTCAGACCTGTACAGCAAACACTTTACCATCTGAGCCATGGCCCATACCCCAACACCTACATTTCTAACAAATCCCCACATGGTGTGACTTCTGGAAACCCCATTTTGAGAACTATCTTCCTGAGAGGCTGTGAAATCCCATGAGCTAAATGCTCTAGAGATGGAGGGAAAGAAAGACAGCTCACTACCAGCAAACACTGAGGAGGAATAAGAACTGGCCAGTACTCCTCCATGCTGCCCTCTACCCAACCCTCTGAACACCAGAGGAGCTCTGATCATCACCTTCCTGGAGGAGGCGTCCCAGTTCTGTCCCACAGAATGCCGCCATCTTTCTGGAAGTAATTTTTTTGTCTGTCCTCCTAGAGTCCCACTTGAACAGTTATCAGAATCTCCATTCCATGCTCTGACGACTATTGGCCCAATTAAATGTCCATTTTAAAATGATTTTGGCAGGTGTGTTATGAAAATGAATACTCACTGTAACAGCAAGGCTCTTACAATGACGAATGAGGTCACAGAAAGTCCCGTGAGCTAGGAGGCAGGGCGCTATTTATGCACATTCAAAATGTTTTCTCATTTCCTTAATGATAAAGACATTGAACTTGGATATCGATCTCAAGTTAGCAAGGCCTTTCTGAGTGGTGGCTCTCCCTCAGGCAGCGTTGCCAGTCCCGTAGCTGGGCCTTGTAGATAGCTGGGCAGGCCCAGCATAGGTGTGACCTGTCCTTGCTGTCTCCTGCAGCCTCTGCCTTGCTCTCAGAGGGCACACTGCTCTTGTGGCCTGGCACATACTCAGGCCCACAGAGCCAAGGGGAATCCTCCAGCAGGAGTTGTCTTTGGGCAGCCCAGCTGGCACAGGCTGGGGGCAGTGGTTGCCAGCCAGCTGTCTAGGGAAGTGGTTCTGGCAACCAATTTAAACCTTTGTGCTTGGGCCTCAGATCTGCCTGTGAGCAAGTCGAAGCTGGACAAGAAGAAATGGTACCCGGGGGAGGCAGGGGGTTCTCCCCACAGTCCCAGCTTAGCACTCTTTCCTAGTAGGTGCACACATACAAGTATGTATGTGTCCGTGTGTGTGTCTATGTATTTATGTGTGTGCACATACATGTGTGTACATGTGTTTAGAAGCCAGAAAACAACCTCAGCTAGTCTTCAGGCTCCATCCACTTTTGTTTTTGTTTTTTTAAACATTATTTTATGTGTATAAATGTTTTGCCTGCATGTATGTATGTGTACCACATGTGTACATTGCCCACAAAGGCCAGAAGAGGATGTCACATCCCCTGGAACTGGAATTATAGACACTTGTTAGCCACCATGTGGGTGCTGGGAACTGAACCAGGTCCTCTGCAAGAGCAACCAGGGCTCTTAACTACTGAGCCATCTCTCCAGCCCTCACTTTTTAAAAAAAATATGTTTGTGTATATGTGTGTGTCTGTATGTGCATATGTGTGAGTCTGTGTGTCTCTGTGTGTCTGTGTCTGCATCTGCATGTGGGAAGGTGTCCATGGAGGCCAGAAGAGAGAGTCAGATTCCCTGAAGCTGTACTTACAAATGGCTGTGAGCCACCCAACATGGGGACTGGGACTCAAACTTGGGTCCTCTGGAATAGCAGTGTACATGCTTAAACTGCTAAGCCATCTCTCCAACCCCCTACCTTGTTTTTTGTTTTTGGGTTTTAATAATATTTATTTATTTTTGTTAGCCACCATGTGGGTGCTGGGAACTGAACCAGGTCCTCTGCAAGAGCAACCAGGGCTCTTAACTACTGAGCCATCTCTCCAGCCCTCACTTTTTAAAAAAAATATGTTTGTGTATATGTGTGTGTCTGTATGTGCATATGTGTGAGTCTGTGTGTCTCTGTGTGTCTGTGTCTGCATCTGCATGTGGGAAGGTGTCCATGGAGGCCAGAAGAGAGAGTCAGATTCCCTGAAGCTGTACTTACAAATGGCTGTGAGCCACCCAACATGGGGACTGGGACTCAAACTTGGGTCCTCTGGAATAGCAGTGTACATGCTTAAACTGCTAAGCCATCTCTCCAACCCCCTACCTTGTTTTTTGTTTTTGGGTTTTAATAATATTTATTTATTTATATATGTATTATGATTGCTTCGTTTGAGGCAGGGCTTTTTAAAAAATATTTTATTTTATTTTATTTATTTTATGTATGTGAATGTATTGCCTGCATGTGTATAAGTGCATCCATGTCATGCAGTGCCCATAGAGGTCAGAAGATGGCATTGGATCCCCTGGAACTAGAGTTATAGATGGTTGTTAGCTACCATGTGTGTTCTGGGAATCGAACCCAGGCCCTCTGCAAGAACAATGTTCTTAATTGCTGAGCTATCTCTCCAGCCCTCCTACCTTGTTTTTTGAGACACAGTCTCACTGACCTGAAGCTCACAAAGTAAGCTAGGCTGACTGGCCAAGAAGGCCCCAGAATCTGTCTGTCTCTCCCTCCCCTGGGCTGGAATTCAAAGCCTGTACCCCATGCCTGACTTTTTTCTTACATGGGTTGAACTCAGATCTTCATACTTGTGCAGCAAGCACTTTGCCCACTGAGCCATCACCCCAGCTCCTTTCTGTCATTTTTGTTTTCATTTCCAAAGTATTTTTGTTTTCATTTCCGAAGTATTTTTGCCACATTGATGAAAGTCTTAGATGTTGCCTTGAACAAAATATGGGACGTGAGGAGTGAGTTTGGGGGTAGGGCCTATCCATAGGTCAGAGCAGGGATGGACATTGGGTGGTTTCTCTTATCTCAAGAAGACTGGGGCCCAGGTCAGAGCTCTCCATAGAGGCACCAGCTAGTGATCTCTGTATACAGCCTGCCCTTAGATTCTACTCTAGTTTAACAAGATGACACTTGAAGTCTAGATAAGCAAGGGGGAAATGCACGATCCCTGCCCAACACACTAGCGTCCTGGGGCCTCATTCACTACACTAGTCTGATCCCCAAGGATGACTCTCATCACCCCAGGACCCGACTTCCCTGTGGCCTAACCCCAGCTTGTGCTCTTCCCAACAGATCTACTACTGGGAGGTGGACAGCCGGAACGAGACAGAGAAAATGAAGGTCCTTTTCCTGCCCGAGCCCATGGTGAAACTCAAGAACCTCACCAGCCACACCAAATACCTAGTCAGCATCTCAGCCTTCAATGCTGCTGGTGACGGGCCCAGGAGTGACCCACGTCAAGGACGTACACATCAAGCTGGTACGTCACCCTGTCTGTTTAGTTACATGTATCAGATATATTATTGGAGGCTAGGGATGTGGCTCAGGTAGCAGAGTGCTTGGCTCATATGTGCAAAGCCCCGAGTCCCATCCCCAGCACCACAGAAACCAGATATGATGGTACATGCCTTTAATCCCAACACTTGGGAGGTGGAGGCAGAAGGATCAGGAGTTCAATGTCAACCTCAGCTCCACAGTGAGGCCAGCCTGAGATGCATGAGAGCCTGTCTTTTAAAAAAAATTGTGTAGGGGGGTGGAGAGACGGCTCAGCAGTTAAGAACACTGTTCTTACAGAGGACTGAGGTTCAAATCCCAGCACCCACATGGCGGCTAACAACTGTCTGTAACTCCAGTTCCAGGGGATCTGATGGCCTCTTCTGTCCTCTGTGGGCATTGTACTACATGAGTACACTTACTGACATGCAGGCAATACACTCATACACATAAAATAAAAAATCATAAAGTATTAAAAAAATAAAAGCTAAATTGTATAGCTGGGAATTTGGAGAGGGGCGTGTAAGGGTCATTTGTTGGTCCCCAGAACTTGTATGATGCTAAGTTAGTGTTGACTGGGGTGGAGCAGTATATGTTTTCTCAGGAGCCCTAAAGGCACTGGAGAGAGGCTGCTGCCTGGCCTTCTTCCTTCATCCTGACCCCACAAACTTCCTTCTAGTATCTTCTCTTGGAGCTGCCCCACTATGTGTCCAAGTCTCTAGAGGCTGAATTCCTTGTGCGTGGGAGCCAGGCCCCCAAAGCTAGGCCCAGGCTTAGGTGCTTCCTGGGTCAAGGTCCTGAGGCCATACCTGGAACAGCTCAGCAGCCACCTCTCAGCCAGGAGAGGTTTTGGAGACTTCTGTTGCTGTGATAAAATAGCCTGGCAAAAGCCACTGATGCAAGAAAGGCTATGTTTTGGCTCAGAGATCCTCGGAATATACTCCATCCTGGCAGGGAGGACATGGTAGCAGGAGGGTGGAGTTGAGGCAGCTAGTCACATTTCATCCATGGTCAGGAAGTGGAGAATGAACAGCAAGTAGGGCCAGGCTAGGAAGCCTCAAGGTCTGACCCCAGTGAACACCCCCCCACTTCCTTCAGCAAGGCTCCACCTCCTAAAAGTGCCACAGGCTTCCCAAGCAGCACCACGCTGAGAACAAGTGTTCAGACACATGAGGCTCTGGAGGATATTTTACATCAAAACCACAACAGAAGCTCTGCGGGCAGGACCGTCTTGCTATGGCGCATCCATACACATGGCACGGCCCGTGTCTGCAGCAGGCCACCCCTACTTGTCTCAGTTCCTTGTGACTGGAGGAACAGTGGATTCCTCAGAAAATGTCAGCTCCCTGCAGCCATCAGAGGCCAAGAACCAGGACTGATAAGGCAGGAAAGTGAGGCCTGGGAGCCTGTGGGCCCAGGATGCAAGACCCAGCATTCTTTGGGCTCAGATGATGGACACCCTGGGTCTTGCAGTGTCACATCCTGTGATAGGACTACAAGCAGACAGCCAGGGCTGCTTCCTTAGGGCCACGCCCAACTCCCAAAGCAGCCCAGTTTTCCTGTTTGGGGTTTTCTGAATTGGAGCTGGAAGGGAAGGAATGGATTTGCAGAGCGCAACGGCTGGGCCATGGCTGGGCACTAGGGCCTGGTAGATCACAGGACTGGGGAGACAGGGAGGGGCTCAGCATGGGGGATGTAACAGAAAGGAGGTGAGGCACAGTGAGGCTGGTATGGCTCCTGGAGCCCCTCCTGGGCAGTGAGGCATCCAGAGGCGACCAAAGCCCACTGGGATGTCAGGTGGGAGTGGCTCCTCACACACAGGTACACGTGCATAGCCCAGGTAAGGGACAGGCCCCACATGTATTGTCCCTGTCAGCAGATGGGGATTCTAATCTCTTAGCAGTCTTGATGGTCTGTCAGCTTCCTCTCTCAGCCCAACAGGTCTCACCTGGGGGACCACGGTATCGTCTCAGACTTGCAGTCATCCTTCGCTGTGGGAGAGGAGGGGAAGGGAGAAAAGGAGAGGGGAGGGGAAGTGGGAAGAGGAGGAAGAGTGGGAAGAAGGAAGAGAAGGGGGAGGTAAAGGAAGGGGAAGGAGGGAAAGGAAAGAGGAAGTGGGGAGGGGTAGAAGGGAGGAGGGGAAGGAAGGGGGAAGGGAAAGGTGAGTTGGGGAGGGGAGGATTAGGGACAGGAAGAAAGGGGAGAAGAGATGAGGGAAAGGGGGAGATGAACCCCATCTACCACAGAGCACCCTCCCTCCCCAGGAACGAGACCCAGAATCTTCTAGCAGCCTCTGGAAATGGAACTGCGTCCCCCTTCGTCTGTCTCCTGCTTTCATCTGTGCTTCACTCTCACACCTTTGACGTTTTACCTCCCAGCTCCATCATCCTACCTGTTCATCTCAGGACACCCGAGCTTCTGCTTGATTCCAGCGAGTTGGGAGCCAATCAGTGATCAATGCAACTTCCACAGCATGGGAAATAACACCTAGCAACACCCCCTGTCCTCTGCAGAGGTGCAGCCCTGTGTGTGTGGCCCCTAAAGCTTCCAGTCCTCACTCCATCCCCCTCTGCTCTTTTCTTATAGCTCCTGGGGCCCCCAGCTTCTTGGCGTTCTCAGAAATAACCTCCACCACGCTCAATGTGTCCTGGGGCGAGCCAGCAGCAGCTAACGGCGTCCTGCAGGGCTATCGGGTGGTGTATGAGCCCTTGGCACCTGTGCAAGGTAAGAGACACTCTATGGCAGGCTCTGCTCCAGGAGTCACAGAGCAAGAACCATCAGTTCTCATTTCTAGGCAAGGAGCTTTCCAGAAACTCAGAAGGTAGAAGAGAGATGGCTCAGTTGGTAAAGTACCTGTGGTGTAAGCATGAGGGTCGAAGTTCAGTCCCCAGAACCCACTTTAAAAAATCCAGGTGCAGTGATGGACACATTTAAGCCCAGTGCTGGGGAGGTAGAGACAGGCTTGCTGACCTGGGGCTTGCTGACCGGCCAGCTTAGCCAAATTGACAAGTTCTAGATAAAAAGTAAAAAGCCCTATGTTCTGATGCTGTGATAAAATACTGACCAAAAGGAACTTGGGGAGAAAAACTGTTTAGTCCATCTTACAGCTCACAATCCAACATCAAGGGAAGTCAGGGTAGGAGCTCAAGCAGGAACCTGGAGCACAGACCATGGAGGAACACTGCTTGGCTTGCTCCTTGGCTTATACAGCCCAGGCCTACCTGCCTAGGATGGCACTACACACAGGGATGGCTGCAGGTCTGAGAAGACACAGTGTGGTCCCCAACTTGAAATCCCTTGTCAACTAGCAAATAAGAAAATGCTCCAGAGACATGTTCACAGGCCAGTCTGATGGAGAGAATTCCTCAGTTGAGGTTCCCTCTTCCCAGGTATCTCGAGTTTGTGTCAAGTTGGCAAAACTAACCAGGACACTTTGCCTCAAAAAATAAGGTAATTGGGGGGCTGGGAGAGATGGCTCAGTGGTTAAGAACACTGGTTGTTCTTACAGAAGACCCAGGTTCGAATCCCAGCACCCACATGGCCACTAACAACCGTCTGTAACTCCAGTTCCAGGAGATCTGACAGCTGCTTCTGTCCTCCGTGGGCATTGCACAACATGGGTGCACTTACCTACATGCAGGCAGTACACACATACACATAAAATAAAACAATAATAATAATAGGTGATTGGCTCCTGAGGAATGACACCTGAGGTTGACTTCTGGCCTCAATACATGCATGCCTACACTTGCATATGTACACCTACACACCTACACACATACATATACACACAGGAAAGAACTACAAAGAAGGTGGAGGACAGACTGTGCTAAGAGGCCTGTCTAGAGTCCACCATGATGCTGGCCTGTGGGACCATGTCACACACATCCTGTGAGTCAGCCTCTTGGAGAGGTTGCTGTCAGTTCATGATTTTGGAGGATTCAGACCATTTTGGTGGGGCAGGGGTAGAGGTGGAGGTCCCATAGTGGCAGGAGGACATGATGGAGGTGAATCTCATCACATTTGTCTGAGTTACTTTTCTGTTGCTATGACAAAACACTGTGACCAAGGCATCTTAGAAGGAGTTTATTGGGCTTATAGTTCCAGAGGGATTAACAGTCCCTCATGGTGGGGAGGTATGGCACGAGGTGGCTGGAGCAGAAGACTGGGAATTCACATTTTCAAGCACATATAAGAAACAGAGAGAGCAAGCTAGAAGTGGGACAAGGCCAAAGCCTCCCCCTCCCCCAGCAAGGCCACACCTCCTAAACCTCCCAAAACAGCACCACCAACTAGGGACCAAGCATTTAAATACTTGGAGCCTATGGAGGACTGTAGCTAAAATTTCTTCTAGGAGGTGTGCTGGAGGTTCGAACCAGCAACCCCGGGCGAGGTGAGGATTGGGGATGAGTAAGCATGCCGTTTGCCAGCCCACGCCGCCCCCATTACCTGGGGACACTCAGACGCATCGGGGAGTCTTAGTCAGGCAGAAACTCATTTATTACAGGTGTTACAAAGCTTATAAAGGCACCTGGAACTCCCCCCCATCCCCAGGGTGTATCTTAAGGATGGTCATGTGCTGATCATGCACTCCTCCACAGTGCTGAAGTGTTCTTCAGACTTTCAAAGCAAGCCAGGCCGTGCCCCCAGTAACTTATGCAAGTGGGGCTTTTAGGTCCCCACAGGAGGTGCAAATGATGTCCAGGCCCCTTCTCCCTTGGTCCCTACAACAAGCTGAAGTCCAATTTCACCAAACTGCAGTCTGGAAAACCAGTAGGTATATTGGGCTTACATACAGAGCAATGGGTGAGGCTTTACTTAGAGAAGTGTGGGTGCTCCCCTCCTAAGGCCACACTGGAAAGTCTCCATCTAGTGTGGAGGTCATGGATCATGACTTCCCTACCATGGCACAAAATGGAGAGAGTCCCTCCCCTCCACTTCCCCAGCTTGTATACCCTTAGCCCTTACCCCTAGTGCGGCTAGGGCTGACTGGTTGTTCGGGAGGTATGGCTGACTCTCCCTGCCCCTCCTTCCTTGCTGACAGTAATAGTCAACAAGCTGAGCTGTGATGATCCTAGGCAAGTGGATGCAACCAAGCTTGGGAAGATAGTGTCTGTCCATGATCTGTCTGTCAAGAGAACGGTCCTATGCAACAGGGGTATTCTCATTCAAACCACTACAGAATTGAACCAGGAAGAACAGACTGGCCAGAACCAAGCTCCACCCTTCAAAGGCCCACTCTAATGATGTCTTTCTCTTACTCAAGCCGTGCCTCCCAAAGGTTCCACGGTCTAGCAAAAGGGCCACCAGCTAGTGAACAAGCATGAGCCTGTGGTGGACACTTCAGTTTCAAACCATGACACCACCCCGAATTATACTTTAGACCCTCAGCACCAGTGACCCTTCTGGATCATCAGCATCTCCAGAAGATGCCAGTAGCCCAGGCCTCCTGCCATTCATTCACATAGTTACTCAGAAAATATTTATGAAACACCTTTGTGTGCCAAAGAATGTTCTAGAACTGGAATCCACGGGGTCAAGAGAGCAAAGGTCTTGACTGACTTGTATATTCATATCCTGAGTTCCATGAGTTTAGATTCCAGGGAAGAAAGATAGCATGCAAATAACTAAGCCGAGAAAGGGCCAGGGTGTGCTCAATGGTAGACGCCAGCCTAGCATTTTCAACATGGCAAGGAAACTAGACAAAACACCAAAACCTGATATTGACGGATGCTGTGAAGAAAGAGACTGGGATCACACAACAGTGTTGGGCAGAGAAAGAGGCCTCGGTGTCAGAGAGGACCCAGGGGTGCGATCGGAAGAGAGACGATCCACCTACAAATTGCTCAGCCATGACCAGGACAGCCATAGCAAAGCATCCAAGGGAGGAAGGTCTCTCTGGGCGAAGCTTCGGGAAAGCATGCAGCAGGCAGAGCTTCTGGAAACAGCCCAGATTTCTCTAGAGACAGAAACTGGAGAGAGGGCCAAACTCAACCAAAACCAGGAGCCCCCTGGTCAACACCATGGTTTAAATCAGTGGCTCACTGACCTCCCAGAACTTTCTAGGTCAACTAGAAACACAGTGGGGGAGAAGGCATTTAAACAAGGAGCTGGAGAGGAGCCAGGTCAAGGGCTTGCTGGTGAATAATAAATGGATCTCAGGATGGAATGCAGATTGGGAGAGCTGATTCAGGGACCACAAGGGCATTGAGGGAAAGCAGCAGTGGAGCTGCTGTTTCCCCTGGGGCTTAGCTGAGGTGCTGATGATGGAAGGCAGTAGGTAGTCGGTTAAGAATGTAGCTGGAAGGTGGAACTTTCAGGCCCAGCCCAAAAAAGCTTCAGAGGTAGGACCAGCACCTGCTCATATGGTACTCCGTACCTGCTCTGTCTGCGCTGCTACCCTGGGTGTTAAGTTCTAGCCATGGTTGTGTCTCTTATCCACCTGTTACTCCTGAGTCCCTTCAGGGCTCCGTAGTCTTTATTCCTCACCCCACTGTATGCCTAAAGACATGTCCACCCGTCATTATACAATGACCCAGGTCAGATCTGCCTGTCCCAGTAATATACACAGACAAGCTGTAAAATTTATAGATTATTTAATGTCTAGGAGGAAACAATACATAACCAGCCCACCAAATAATATTGGCTCTCCATTTAAAGCCATGATCAAAGTTTTCTTTTGAAAGAAGCACAGTCACGTAGAACGGAGTTGATTTGAAAAGGAACATTCAAACACTCAGTTTTATTTCATTGACTCTCTGATGCCATTGACAAGAAGATTTGCTGTTGTTTTATGACACTCTAAGAAACACAAAAATATGTTCGCCATAAACAATGGCCTTAGGTTTTTGCATCATCAATTCTGAGCTGCTTCTCCAATCAGGGACGTGAAAGTGGGAGAGAAAGAAAAAGCCAAGGTGTCTGAGCCAGTCGATGAACTTTGATGTGTAACAGGGCAGGTGATCTATGGATAGGTTTCTCAGAATCCAAGACAGCACTTGGGGGAGGGTAATTGGCGTTGTCCTGCTCCAAAGTGTTCTTTTCAGAGTACCTGTCTAGGAGCAGGTAGCCTGAACAGGGCTGCCTTTAAGGTTTTGCTGAATGGGGACCTGCCTATATGTGTACAATTTCCCTCTCTCTTCCTCCCTTTCCCTCCTGTCACTCTTGTAACCTGAGCCCGTGCACACAAGCACCTTTTCTAAGGATGCTAACCAGCTAGAGCCATTCTAATGAGAAGTTGGAATCACAGCTCTGATTGATGCACGTATCCTTCATAATCAAACCCAGCTTAAGTATTCTCATACATCCTCAAAGAAGCAGCTGAATCTGCTGTGTCCTGTGTCCTAATGGGCTCACAGACTCTGGCAGCCCTGTGGCATGGACGTTGGGACCTCCCCCTCATTCTTATTATGGGAAATGAGGCACAGGACTCATGATGCACAGAGAAGGCACCCCAGAGACTCCATGGAGAAATCAGGGACGTTTACTCATGCTGGTGAACTGGAGTGGAGTTTCCTCCTGAAAAGCTTGAGCCCCAAGTTTAGTTTCTTCATGGTTTTTTATAGGTTTCCCCATATCATCATTTCTTCACTGTCACAACATTAGTAGATTTAAATTATGGTCTATATCATTACCAGAACAGATGTGCACATGTCCTAGGACCACTGAGGGAAAATTCCTTCTGAAGGCATGTTTGTAGATATTGAAGGCAGCAGTTAAGACAG